TGTTTAAATAGAAAAGTCGGGTGAAATTTGAGCTGAATTAGGATTTTTGGAGCCAGGCACGATCGTGCCTTCGATCGTGCCTCCGGAGCAAAAACGCGCATTTTGGGCAGGCACGATCGTGCCTGGCTAGCAGTAACTCCGCGATGCTTTCTCTTCACGCACGATCGTGCCTGACTTTGAGTGCACGATCGTGCCTACTTAACTTCCGAATTTGGCTATTCTTTCTTCATGAAAGTTGTAGATAATGAAGTCCTATATCCACTCCAATTTGCCGAATGTGATTTGAATCATCGAATCAAGAGATATGATCCAAACGGTGGAAGGTGTCTTTCTGAAATTGCAATAGAGATCATCTGACTTCATCGTCTCTTTTCACCTTCTTCCTCTCAGATTCTCGCAAAGGTGTCTTCATATGATTTGTAGCTCTTGAAGTTGGATTTCATATGGAACTTTAATCGTGTCCATTGGTTGTTTCTACAAAGAGATATGATTGAACGATTGACAGAAGGTCATCCTGATCGTCGTTTTCAAGCTCTTTTCGTCCTCTTTTGACCCCGTAGCCAATCCTAGAGCTCTTTTTCCTTCAAATCTTCATCGTGAATCTTCCGGTGACCTCCAAAGCTATAAAATCATTCTCAAATGCTTCTCAAATCATCCCGATTGTTCCTCAAGTGCCGGTACCCGGGTTCAAAATTCCTGATTTTGACTACAAACAACACAAAACTCGAACCAACGCCTGGTAAACATAACTTGAGCTAAAATTGAGACTTGTAACACCTTAAAGCTAGTAAAAACATCAAAATCCAATCCCAACACGCATCAAATGTGTGTCTAAATACAGACTTATCAATCGTCTATTAGATTTCATGGAAGTAACCAAGGTGAATCCATCATCCTCAGGAGCATGAGGTGTGATGACAGAATCACATCTGATACATTCTCACACTGATTATTCGCAGAAGAACTCTTCAACAAATTAATGGCCCTTGACAATTGAAAAGTTCAACGCCCAGTTAGTCATTCAAGGTTTTAGACAAAAACGCAGAATTGACTATTTTAATATGTATGTGTTGGTAGCTCAAATTACAACCGTTAGGTAGATAATTGCTTTGGCGGCTATACACAATATGATTATACATTAGATGGATGTCAAGACAGATTTTCTAAATGTTTATTTTGATGATGATCTAAGTTTACATGAAACAAATGTAAGGTTTCATTATGCCTCAAAACGAACATAAGGTGTGTAAACTTGTTAAATCATTGTATAGGCTCAAACAAGCACCCAAAACATGGAGTCAAAAGTTTGATGAAGTTATTTTGTCGAATGGTTTTGGCTTTAACCAATCAGACAAGTGTATTTATAGCCCGTTTGACACTTTAGGCGCGAGTGTGTTTATATGTCTCTATGTTGATCACATGTTGATTTTTTTAAAATCAGGTTAATGAAATTAAAATGTTGTATCATCAAGGTATTCCATAAAGGACACGAGGGAGGCGAATGTGATCCTTGGATTAAGGATTAAACAGGTATACAAAGGAAATGCTTTGACACTCATTAAAAGCAAAGCCCCTCTTCATTATAATATTCAATTGCACATTTCTCCTTCTCCGAGGGATAGGCATACTATCTTTTACACTTGGATTAAGCCTCAATTGGGTTTTATTAAAGTTAATATTTCTACTAGAATTCTCCACACTAATATTGTGACATCGGGTTTTATTCCTAGAGATTCCAATGGTTACTACAAAGGGCACGCTAGTCATCTTAGTCACACAAAGGATCCGAATGTCGCCCTTTATGATGCCATTATTAATTTTAGACCTTTTTTTGATCAACTTCCAACAACTAACTTTATCATTGAACTTGATAACTCGCAGGTATGTGCTGCTATTCGAGGATAAATATTGCACCATTGAACCCACTGGAAGAGTTGCACGCGTATAAGAAGACAATACAACTCCAATCGTTTTGCTTCCAGTTCTATTAATGCTGGTGCTAATCGGGCGGCGGGATATGTTGCTTTTAATAAAGTTAGAATTAGTCGATCCCAAATGCATTGTAATCAATTTTTCGGTATCCTTAAATATGATAACATTAGCTACCATTATCCCTATTTTTTAATTAGGCTCAGCCCAGTCACTTTGTTTTTGTAATCTTTGTTATAATAAATTGGTAAGGTGTTACCCGGCCCTTACCCCATCCTCGGATGGTTTGCCACGGGTGTTAAAAAAAGGAAATGCTTTGACACAAGCTTACTATGTTGAGAATATTCTCAAAAGGTTTAATCTATAGTGATTTTCACTTACTCGTTAGTACTTCCATGGATCCTAATGTGAAGTCGATGCTTAATAAAGGAAATGCAATATCACAACTCTAGTAATCTCAAGCTATTGGTAGTATGATGTATGTCATGACAAGCACCCGACCCGATATTGCTTATGTCGTGAGAAAGTTGAGCCAGTATACTAGTAGTCCAGGTACTCAACATTATAATGGCAAGCAATGAAGAGAATATTCAAGCGTGGATTATAGTTTGTGTTACTTTGAGTATCCTTAGGTGTTAGAGGAATATTCGGATGCAAGTTGGATATCCAATGTAAGGAATCATTTTTCTACAAATGGTTGGGTATTCTTGTTTGAAGGATGTGCTATTTCTTGGGCATCCAAGATGCAAATTTGTATCACAAGCTCAACAATGGAATTTGAGTTTGTTGCATTGTCTACCACCGGTAAAGAGGCATAATTGTTAAGAAAATTAATTTTTTAGATTCCATTGTGATCAAAACCGATTGCAACTATTTCCATCCATTGTGATAATCCTGCCACTTTGGCTAAAACATATAGTCATTTTTATAATGACGAGTCTAGACACTTGAGTGTTAGACATAGTATGATTGGGAAATTAATCATGAACAATGTAATTTCAATGGAGTTTGTTAGATTGCAACAATTTGAGTTCTTATTTATGGCCTTCCTCTTGTGAACTTACTTCCACCTCAACTGTTTCTAATGGAGTTAGGGTTCAGACCCGTGGGTGATAACAAACTTAGAGTATGGGAAGACTGATAATAAATGAAACACATGTCCCTATCTGAAAACACTCTTAAACACAAATACTTTTTTCGTACTTTTCCCTCAATTTTTTAGTTAAAAACTTGACGAATTGAAAATTGAAAGAATATATAACACAAATAAGACTACATGATTCTCCTTAGACATAAATATGACTAATATTTAATCTAAACAGAAGAGACTAATTGTATGTGAACTGACAAAAATACCCCTTATTTAAATCCAAAACAAAACCCTAATACCCATCTTCTCTCACCCGTCTACATCCTTCAATCAGCTTCCTCGTTGACCTAAGCTATTGCATCGTTGCTGTCCAAACCAAGGTACTGCCGCCGCCCTAGCCATCGAATCGCCACTGCCAAAATTAGGGAATCACCGCTGCCCAAGCCATGATGTCACTACCGCCTCCTAAGACATGGCATCGCCACTTTCTACCAAACTAGACGCTACTGTTGAGACCATTAACACCGTCATTGTTCCTCTTCACCGCAAATTTCGCAGATTCCTCCTCCTCCTCCCCCTTCCCCCCTCCTCCTCCCCCCTCCTCCTCCTCCTCCTCCTCCTCCTCTCTCCCTCCTCCCCCTCCCCCTCCTCCTCCTCCCCCTCCTCCTCCTCCCCCTCCTCCTCCCCCCTCCTCCTCCTCCCCCCCCCCTCCTCCTCCTCACCCCCTCCTCCCCCCTCCTCCCCCTCCCCCTCCCCCTCCCCCTTCTCCTCCTCCACCTTCTTCAGCTTCTTCTTTTTCTTCTACCCGATGGTTCACCGTCCTTCTCCTCAGAACGATGGTGGAATCTCGTTTTCTAATGTTAATGTTGAAGGGTGGGGGCAAAAGTTCAGGTACTGATGGGAGCGGCGACAAGGGATGGGGGTTGGGGACGGTGGCTTAGTTATGGAATAAGGTTATGATGCAGGGAGTGGGGGAAGTGGTGTCGGTCGGTTGTACTGGGCGATGCGAAAGGGGTGGCAACTAGACGGGGTGACGGCCACCAGGAGGGTCAGGGCGGCGACAGTCACGGGAAGGGATAGTGCGGCAGCGTCGGTCACGGGACAAGAAGGAGCAACATGGTACCGGGTGGATGGGCGGAAGGGCGCTCGTATAAAACTACAAGAATTTTGACATAATGTGACAAATTTTTTCGTCACGGAAAATTCATTTTTTGTCACTAAAACTTTTATATGACGAATTATGAGCGTCACGGTGATCGTCACCGTAGCTCCGTGGTATTAGTTGTATGTGACAAATTTTTTATTTGTCACCAAATAGACAACATTTAATGACATTTTAACACTTTGTCGCCATTATTAATCACTTTTAGTGACGCCAAATGTGTCACGTTTATATTGATTTTTTTGTCATCTAAATATGTATTTTGTCACCAATAATTCATACAATAAATGACAAACTATTAAATTGTCAACAAATCATACTACCTCCGTCCCTTTTTATTTAGCCAACTTTGACTTTTACAGTCAAATATGATAAATTTTGATCAATTATTTTAAATACTATATTTATGTAAAAATTAATAAATTTATACTTTTATGATAGTATATTCAACAAAGAACATTTTCATATAATTTTTATATTATCAATATTACCGTGTATAAATATATAAACGGTCAAAGTTGAACAACTTTGACTTGAAAAACAGTGTTTGGCTAAATAAAAAGGGACGGAGGGAGTAGCATATAGTGACAATCCCCGATATATTTTCTGGACTTTTGACTTGTGACAGTAACAAAATCGTCATATTTAAATTACTTATTTTGTCACATTTATAAACATTCGTCATTAATTAGAATTACTTTAATTACAACTTTTTTCGTCACTTATAAACTATTTATGATGACAATACTATTTAAAGACAAAGTTGATTGGACAAACTTTTGTGTACAAAGTGACATTAAGAAATGAAATAGTGCCAAAATATAAATATCAACAAAGTAATATATTCAATGCTAAAAAATTATACTTTATGCCAAAACTAAACAACACAATTAAAAAATTAACATTCCCATGCGGATACATATAATAATAGATGACTAAAACAAATGACTACCTAAATAACACTTATAACTATACTGGAACATTAAGCAAAACTAGACATCATAAATCCTTTCATTTAGTACTCAAATGCTATGACTTTCTTCACTTTGAAGCTTGATGAGGTATTTGTTATCTCAGCTTTAACGTCTTTTTTTCATTATCTTCGACTTTGAATCTTAAATCCATCCAACTTGTGCACACTTTATCTCCTTCTCTTCTACAACATAATGGCAGAACTACAAAGGACACTTGAGTATCACTACACGTCTCCACCACACACTGCGCCTCATATACTTGTAGATACCTTGAGAACAATTTGATCGTTGAGCCACATGTAAACAACAACCAATACAAACTAAGTTGCTGCCTTGGCACCAAGTAATTACAAAAGGAATTATTGGTTTTGCCATAGGCACAAACTGCAAATCAAACAATTACGTTAGCCACAATATCGCTTGTTCTCTTTATCAACTAATTTTCATTTTTGCAACTATACAAGTCAATAATCAAACACCTTCTCAACCCCCGCCTAATTACTTGCAGATTTTTGTTTTTAGACAATAGTAAACATTTAAATAGCAATAAGAAACTCCTATGTAATATTCAGGGTGCAATCTTTTCGGATTCAAAAGGGTCCCCTGTCTGATTGAAGCAACTAAAATTGAAGATTGAATGTTAAAAATGTAATACTTGGACATAAAAGAATAGGAGGCTAGAACTAAAGGAATACTAATCTGGTTTACTTAATCCAACAAAAACGCTTCTGACAAACCGACAACAACAACAACATCCATGTTTTAGTCCCAAAGAGTTTGGAGTCGGATAATATGAATCGATATATGAAGCTGGAGTTAAAAAAGTAAGTACATGGTAACTTCCGTTATTTATTTGAAAAAATCAAAGAAAAAACATACTAGTAAATGAGATACTAAACTCACTTACCATAGTAAACGCAGATGGTCCAAGTGCTCATATATTTAGTGTAGCTAATGATTTTGGTTTAGTCAAAAGGCACACTCAAAGTCCATTTGACATGTGCATAAGCCACTGTAAAAGTACGTCATGTGATATATCAAACCAATTTAGTTAGAGGCATAAAAAAATGCTCAAATCATTAAGACATAGTAACATACCGAAAATAAAGATGGTTTTCTTCATGGGGTTGAAAGTTGAAGTCATTAAGTGTAAATTTGCAGTATCCCCATTTGTTTTCTCTCTATCTTCCTCTTCTCTTAGCCCCATCATTTGCTTTTTATCTATCTTCCTCTTCTCTAAACCCCACTACTGAAAGTACTTTATTTGAAGAACCAAAGATGAATCATAAGAGTATATATGATAGAAAACACAGTACACTTGCTACATTGAACTAGTTGCATCAAAGCCAAGCTAATGAGTCCATCAAGCACTACTTTCTCCAACATCTTCATATACGGGTGACCAAACTGAAAAAATACTAGAACATATGTTGCAATGACTAAGAAGACTCAAATATAGAAGATTTATAGGATAATCAATCACTGTAATAACGCCCTCAAATATATTCACCACTCTCATAACACAAAATGAAAGAAACGTCAGTTGAAAAACAAACATTTAGCAATTAAAATCAATTGTACCATTGTACCTAATAATTATAGATGATAACCTTTATCCAAGCTGAGGAATACAAATAGAGAGAATGTTTCTCATCCACACAAAAATCATTCATTTGGTAAAAATACCTTAAACTTGCCATCAAAACTAAGAAACACACTGAGCTGAAATCATATGAAGTTAGATCAAACAATATAATTTGCCGCTACTGTAACAGAACAAATTAGTTACATAAATCAAAAGCGAAGTAATTGAACCATAGAATTATCACATCAATCAAACAGAAGAAATTAAAAATACATTTACCTGAATCGTTTGAAGTTTCATCATTTAGCCTAGCGCCCAACTAGTAGCCGACCACGGTCGTAATCATATCTGCCTGAAATGGCCCCCGGCCCCTAGCCCCAGCTCACAATTCAGCCAATTCAGCCAATTATGTGAAATAAAAGTAATATATCAAATCAAAAGTTACTTAATAAAGTTGATAACCAGGAAACAGAATTCACCGAACAGACATTAAAACCATTTGTAGTGGAGAGATACCAGGAGTCCAAAACGCAAAGGTGGAATCTTTGGACTCCGTACATTGTGAGATTAAAAAGTGTATTAAAAGTGGGAAAACGGGAAGATGTTTAGACATTTAGTTAGTAAAGGAGTAAATGAGTAATTGAGGGAGAAAAGAAAAGAAAATGAAAGAATGCGACAGCAGAGGGAAGCTTGTGGAACGGATGACGTCACCTCATATTTTTGTAAAGTTTATAATTTTTTTATTTGTATTCCAAAGTTTTGAAAAAATATACCAAAATATTTAAATTTTAATGATCTTTCATATAACACCAATGGGAAAAGATCACATGAGAAGTGTGTTTTAGACTGAGAACTGCGAAGTTTAACTAATAAAGACAATAAGCTAAGGTAACTTATATAACATAAATCATAACTTATAGTTCAACAACTCTAAGGGTTTGTTTGCAATCAATTAAAAAAAGTGATTTTGGCTTTTTTTTTAAAGAAACAAGCACTTATTTTCCCAAACACTATCAACTTTTACTTCCTCGGTTTTCGTGTAGAATCTACTTTTTACTTTTTCTATTACACAAAAAACATTTATTTTACCAAACACTACCAACTTTTACTACTAATCACTTTTTCCCAAAAAGTGCTTTTATTTAAGCACAAGTGGTTGCAAACAGAGCCTAAGGGTCTGTTTGCAACAGCTTCTGCTTTTAAAAAAGTGTTTTTTAATGAAATGGGGAGAAGTGATTAAATAAAAGTTGTTTGTGTTTGAGAAAAAAGTGATTTTGAAAAGTAAAAGTGGGTAGTGTTTGGTAAAATAAGTGCTTTTTGTGTAATAGAAAAAGTAAAAGCACTTTTGACGCGGAAGCCGGGAAAAATAAAAGTTGTAGTGTTTGGAAAAATAAGTGTTTTTTTAAAGCCAAGAGCTGAGAAATGCTTTTTTAAAAGAAGTTGCAAACCAACCCTAAATCAAAAGTATAATTTTATAGTGAAAAATTGAGGAAGTATGAGATTACAATGAAAAACAATAGTATTAGTTGAAAAATATTTACTAAAAAATATTTAACAAAAAGATATTTATTTATTTACCAAGACATATATGTCCTAGTACACTATTAATACCTTAAACATAACTTATAAAACCAAATGTGTAACTTTTATAACCTTTTAAATTACTTCGCAGTTCTCAACCTAAGAACATTTCTGATCTGATCCCCTCTCTAACACCAATAATATATATATAAACTTAAACAAAATATGAAGTTTTCAATTGCTAGAGTTTTTTGGAGCCCTAAAAAACATGGAACACAAATTTTTAATCCATGATGCATCCATAAATAACTGCACATTACATAAACTCATTTTATTTTTATTAAAACTGGAAAAAGTAAAAAAGAAATTGACGAATTTTTATTTGTAACATCAAAATGTGTATTTTTTTATTATCATGATTATTCAGAAAAAAACGAGAAAAAAATTACTTATAATAATTTAATTAATGTATTAATTAATTAATATTTAAAAAAACATGTTAAGTGTATTTTATTGATGATGCTGGAATGCTGAATTTTCTAAATATTGTTTTCGTATGGATGGATATCAAATTTAAGTCTTTAGGCTGTGCTCGAATGTATGTGGTCCAAGAGTTAGTTCCGGAGTTGCCATTTGCCAAACAAGATCACTATTTCGTGCGTCTATGGTTTGAGAAAAAATGAATTTTTGGTTAAAGTATTTTAAATTTTTTGGAGTTGAAAAAGTTAGCAAGTACGTAGTATTTTGGGAAAGTTTCCGAAATAGGACTAAAAAAGTTTGAAAATTCCAAAATAGGACTGTCATGTTTTTATTCCCAAAATAGGACTAATCACTACCAAATTTGGAAAATACTGCCATGTTTGAAGTCTGGTACTGCCAAAACATGACAGTAATTAGTCCTATTTTAGGAATAAAAACATGGAAGTCCTATTTTGGAATTTCCAAATTTTTTTAGTCCCATTTTGGGTAATATCTCTAGTATTTTTGGTTGAGACCTGCTTGGGGTACCCCAATTTGTACCTCAATCTGTACACCGTCTGTATACACAGACATTTAGACAGAAAGTCCTGCTCTATTTCAAATGAATTACCTGTGTACACCGGCAATTCAGGGGTGGATACAAAATGGGATACATTTTGGGGTACCTATAAAAAATTTTTTTGGTTTAAGACAATGGCCTTGACTGTAAAAGAAGTTTTGGTTGTATATGCTCCCTATTTAATGCGCACAATTGCACATGTGTCGGGTGTTGCAGAATACAAAATAAAATCTTACTGTACGTGGCTGTCACTTAATTTAGAATTGGGTAGGTAAACAATCCCAGCCTCCAAATAAATGCGATGGTTGCGCAGTGACTTGAATAAGCGGTTTGCACGCCATTCTTTCATGAAGACATGCATTTAAGTGGTCTATTACTAATAGAGACACGGCCAAGTGCTGGTAACAAAGGTTGGACACAATAAAGTGAATTAAAATATTAGGGTATGTTTATCAACAAATATATTTTTAGTTTTCTTTTCATTTTTGCGTTCTCCTGTTTTCATTTTCCAGTTTTTTTTGGATCCCTCCTTAATTGGAGACATTCTAGAAAATTCTAGAAATTTCTAGAGAAGTACAAAATTTACTAGAATGTTCCGGAGAATCATAAAGAAGTCTAGAACTCTCTAGAAGCTTGTGGAATAGTGTGGAATCCTCTAGAATATTCTAGAGATGTGTGGAACCTTCCAGAACCTTATGGAAGAGTATGGAAGCATATGGAACTATGGAAGGGAATGGAGAGGTGTAGAGATTCCTTGGAGTTTTCAAGAATAGGTAGACATATGTAGAGCATTATAGAGAACTACTCTCCACCATTCATTATGGAGGTGGAGTAGTATAAATAGGAGTAGAGACCTCCATTCCTAACCATCCTAGCAAGAGAGAAGCCACTTTCTAGACTGAGAAAGCTAGAGAGTTAGAGAGATAGCTTGGGAAGTTCTTATCCTCAAGCTTGAGTGAGCCACCATTGAGTGAGACAATTTTGTAACATCCTTGTAAATCCTACTATTCTTATGTATAGTGGAAGAATCTCCATATTGGAGAATTTAAATCGTGTGCTCCCATTGATACCTTATTTCCTAAGTGCCTATCTTAACTTCACGAAGCGGGAAAGTTCGGAGTTTTTTCCAACAAGTTTTTCGTTCTCCAATTTTCTATCTTCATTATCAAGTTTTCCATTGTCAAATAAAAAAACATGTTCATCAAATATTTTCATCCAATTCTGGGATCGGCCGAAAGATCAAAAGTACGGTGCTAGTCAGAACCAGACCTAGTACATCCCAAATAGGGTACCCGATCCTTGGTAAAGGAAAATTGATACTGAAATATGCCGATCTCAGTCGGTCCCAATTGCTAGTTTGACTAGTTCTTTCCATTTTTCCTTATTGGTTGGTGACCCAACGATTCTTTTGAAACTGTTCACTTTGAAAAAAATATTTAAAAAATAGGGATCGAACAGGGACATGGACTGTCGGGTTGTCGACTGAACCGGACTGGGATTGTCCAGTTGTCAATTAGACCGGACCGCGACCGTCCGGTCATCAATCAGACCGAGCCACCGAGTCATCTCCCGGACTAGACCGGATCGTGCCTTAACTGCTGGGTCATTAACCGGATTGGACCGGGACCGTCTCGTCATTGTCCGCATTGGACCGGGGCTGCGAGGTCGTCGACCGGGTCAGACCGGATCGGGACGGCCTGGTTATCGATCGGATCAGACCGTGATCACCTGGTAGTTGACCGCAGCGAGACCGGGTCCACCACTAGGAGTAAGTAGGCAAACTAGAATAAGTCGCTTCTCCAATTCATTAAGGAAAATAGAAATATCTCATTTTGTTTTGTTTTGAAAAATGATTTGGTAAACACATTTTCTTGTTTTCCTTAATCGAGTTTTCTAGCAAATTTTTTGGTAAACACGTTTTCCAGTTTTTTCTTTCTAGTTTTCTAGTTCCCTGAAAAGTCGAAAATACCTCTGTTATTATACAGGACCTTAGTATATGGGCCATATGTCACACTTTGTTTTAGGCCCTGAAAAATATTTTCTTTGTTTATCATCCCTAGAATTTATGTTGGTTTCTTTTTAGTCCATGACTTATTATAACAACCCCCGTTTGACAACAAAGAAGCCCCGAATAATAGGCTTTCTCTACTTCTTTGTCATGACATTCAAAAAGTATTTAATTTTATTTTTAAAAAATTTGTAATGCATATTTTAAAAATGTGAATAATTAGTTTTATATTATTTTAACTCTCATATTAGTCTCAAAAAATTATTAAATGACAAATTTAAATATTTTATAGTAGATTTATGCAACTGACAATAAACATTTTTCTAAGTAGAGTTGTTTCGGAGTTACAAATGGACTAAAAACCAATATAGTGCATATTACAGGTATGAAAAGCAAAGAAAATATTTTGCATGACCTAAAACAAAGTGTCATATTTGCAGGGACTAAAACCATATTTTTTTGCAAAGAAAACGTTTTTTTGGAAATTAAGCAAAAAATTTATTCATATCAAATGATAGCAAAGAAACAAGTAAATGAATAGCCTAAGGCTACAGTGGGATGAGACTTTGAACGAAAAAAGATCCCATGAATCCTTCCAGATCGCTGCTAACCCCGTAATAATGTAGTCTAGTCTAACAGCCTTGCTGCACTTGCTACTTCAAATACAAATAAAAAATTACAAATAAAAGATCCGGCTTCACCAGTCACCAGAAAACAGAGAATTGAATTGACCACCAATCAACAAAAGAAACCCTACCGAGCCGAAATTGTCTGAATTCGATTTGACCGACCACAAAAAAGGAGATCCAGTTGAGCGCTTTATCTATTTCCCAGAGCGAGGCGGTGGTTCAGGTGGAGGATGAATAATTGAACCTTCAGAAAAAGGTTGAAAAAGCTTTTCCAACCACGAACAATGAAAACTCACTGAATCGATTGCACGGATGAGAAATCCACAGCCTGTAGACATCGCTAGGAGAAAAACATATCACACGCTCACATGAAGCAGACAAAACTCTCGACCAAAGAAAACACCCGACAAAACCCTCAAAG